CTTAAAGTTTTTAATGAGAATTTATTATCTTTTCGCTTTGTAAAACAAATGATCAAGAGGTAATTCTAATGAAACCGTTAGTTCGAAAATCAAAATATTTGTATATATATATTTTTTGCCAGTAAATATGAGATTTTAGCTAAAAGTACAAACCTCACAAATAAGCATGTCAGTATAACTATTTTATTATTATTATTATTCGTATTTTAAGGTCATTCCCTTCTATATATATATTAAAAGTGTAACTCACAAACTGTGCTAAACATGTTTATCAATGTTTATAATTACATAATTGAATTTACAATATCTAAAAATTATGGAATAAAATTTTTTTTTCTCCTTGACTATGTGATGGAAAGTTAAGAAGTATATTCGAAAAGTTTAAATATGTAGTATACACAGTATAAAATGTCAATATTGTTATCAAGATAAACAATATGTAAGAATATTTAAAATAAATTACTAGAATATAAGAAAATAATTAATTACATATTATATTCTAGAACAAAAAAATGCTTCTTAAATGTCATTATTCATTTTGTATTTTCTCAGTTTTATTTTTAGAAATAGTCAACATTTAGTTAAATTTAAAGATAACTATCTATATGCATTAACATATTAAATACCTAATATATGTTAATTGATAGTATATAATTAAATTAATGAAGCTTTTTTTTTCAATTTCATTAAATAACCTGTAAATAACTATTCTTTTAAAATACACTAATATATAGCTTTATTATTTCCACTCTAAAATTAATGAACTGTAAATAGAGTATTGTATTCTAAGTAGGTTAAATTATTTTGATACAAATGGATTTTCATCAAATTAATTATTAAATCACATAATAGGTGAAGTGTGAATTGAAAATCATTAAATTTAAATTTAGTAAATGTTTTACTCGTATCCAGGCTTAAATGATCAATTTACCTCTATATGGACTAGAAATTTTCAAAGCTGTTTGACAGTCAATACCTTACAAGTTAATTCGTTTTTGCAAAGCAAATTATTCTTAAATCATAAAAAACCTTTATAAAATTATTTTAATTTACTTAGCACTTAATATGCTTTGTTTTATTGTACGAAAGGTTTTGAATTACATTATAAATAATAGATTTCACGGAACCTCGTTCAATTACTCAGTTATTTTGTGGTGTGGGTTACTTATATTCACATAAGTAGTATATAACAGTGGCCTGCTTGAATATCTGGGCTACCTGTTTCTGCCATCTAGTTATTTCAACAAGTTATCTGTTTTTTTATTTTGTTTTAACCTCTCATTATGTCCATTAATCGCATAACCTATACAGGCGCGTTTATGAAAAGCCTACGACCTTTCGCTGCACAAGTTACAAAAACCTACAATAAAAGACATCGTGGTGGTTGGCAATTTGCGTTGAAGAGAATGAATATTAATCGTATGTCGATTCCCAAATTGCTAAATTCTAATTGCCGATCATTAATTAACAAGATAGACTATCTTCAATCCCTACTAAGTCAAAATATGTATCGTAATTGTGGTGTCATCACAATTCAAGAATCTTGGTTAAACGATTTACAGGACGACTGCCTAGTATCCCCACAGGATTTCAAAATTTATCGTCAGGATCGATCAAACGATAAAAAGAGGTGTGGCGGCGGTGTAGCTACTTTTGTAAACGTGAACTGGTGTCGATCTACGTTTGCGTGTTTCAAGTTTTCAAATGACTTTATCGACTGTCTAACTCTAAGATGCCGTCCAAAACATCTAAATAAATACAAATATCTTTATGTTACCAATATCTATGTGACCCCAGACTGCACATCATCTGCGCTATCTGTCTTCGCTGATGAATTCACTGAGTTCGCTGTTATTGCCTTCAGTGATTCACTTTCAGTTGTATGTGGTGATTTCGATTCATGTGACTATAGCTTCCTTACATCGCTAGGTCACCAAAATGTAGTAGATTTTCCTACTCGGTTGGATGCTCATTTAGACTTCGTTTTCATTAATGATGTAGGTATATATGTGACGTGCCCCATTGTCTAGCTCGGATCACTGTATAATTCGTGTTCTACCTAAAATATATGGAAAGCATGGAAAGAGTGCACTCTTAAATCAAAGCAAGAAAGTCAAATATAGGAATTACTCAAAAGTAAATATCCGAAACCTGAAAGACATGTTTCATACGAACTAGGAATTATTTACAGATGACTCACTGGAAATCACTACTGATGTTATCACTTGCTACCTTAAATTCTGTTTTGATATTTGTTGTCCCACTGAAACTATTTTTGTAAGTTTTGATCGACTTACATCTTCACAACTAAAACGACTACGGAGGGTGAAAGAAATAATGTACAAAAAGAAAAACTCTAGTGAAGTTCGTAAGCTAAATGGTCTGATAAACCTCGAGATTAGTCGTCTCAACACTATGTTTGCTCAAAAACTCTTGTCTTGTAAAAACTCTTCAAGTATGTGGAAACTCTTTAAAGAACTTACAGGTGACAGACAGATTAGGATCGATAACCAGCTGGATGTTTGTGACTTAAATAAGTCTTTTTTACGTCAATCATCTGATGTGATGCTCCCTTTATTCACGGGTTTAAAAAATAGCTGTGTTTTTAGTTTCACCGAAACTGATGTCCAAAAATGTCTCCAGTCACTAAGTTCATCCCGATGTTTGGGACCTGATGGTATCCCAAACCTCCTTTTCAAAATGTGTGCTGACGTCCTATGCTATCCATTCAGAACTATCTTTAATAGATCCTTCTCTTCTGATCTCATACCGAAAATGTGGAGAAAGATGAAGATAATCCCTATACCCAAGAAAGCATCTAGTGATAAGAATGTGAAATTCAGACCCATTGCGATAACTTCACCCTTCCTCAAAGCAATGGAAAAATTATTGACACTTTCACTTCAGCCTGCGATAAAAGAGCACATTGACCAGTATCAGTTTGCTTACAGATGCAAAAGAAGCACCCTAGATGCTGTTGCTGTTCTGCATCATAATATAGTGTTCAACCTAGAAAAGGGTAAGAAGTATGTTCGATGCGCTTTCCTGGACTATACTTCTGCTTTTGATTCTATATCAAGGCAACGTTTACTTAACAAGTTAATCAGCGTTAACACTGACAGCTGGATAACCAACTGGCTATGTTCCTACCTCTCTGGAAGGGAACAGTACACGGTGTTTGGAGGAAAGTGTTCAGAGTCTCTAGTGTCTTATGAAGGTGTACCACAAGGTGCTGTTCTTTCACCTCTTCGTTTCTCTTTTCTTCTGTATGATCTGCCATCTTCCACGGTAAACACTTTTGTGAAATATGCAGACGATCTCACTGTTTGTATGCCTATCTCTTCCTCTTTACATCCTATAGAAATGAACGAGTTTTTATCTCGCATTGATAGCTGGTCTGTCGTTAATGGTCTCCTACATAATCCGTCTAAATGTCAAGCTGTTAACTTTAGCATGAGACATGATCGGCATCTAAACACCTTTTTGAGATCTCATAATGCTTGTGCCATTGGCGACTCTTTGATAAACACAGTGTCGACGGTCAATTATCTTGGTGTTACCTTCTCCTCTGATCTCTCTTGGTCTTCTCACGTTTTATTGTTATCGAAGAAAGTTTTCCGTCTGACTTACTACATTAAGAGGTTGGATGCTTTTGGGATCACTCGTCATTTACTCCTACAATTTGTCAATTCTTGCATATTACCTATTATTCTTTACTGTTCTCCATTATTCTTTCCCGGGCTTTTGAGAAAAGACTTTGCTGTACTGCGGAGAGCGCTGGAGGCAGTTAGCAAGTTATGTGGTGAATCTTTCGAGACCATAATTAATATGATTGTGGACAGACATCTAAAGTCATGCAAACTCCTGGCAGATGTTATTTTATCAGATACTAACCATCCCCTTCACTCATATCTTTCTCCTTGTATATCTTCTGGTAGAACGAGACGAAATTACATTAAAATCCAAGCACGCAAGCAAAAGTATAAACGTTCTATAATACCTTACCTAGCAAATGTACTCTGTGACGAACAGGTTGTTAGAGTTAACCTAGTCAATAATCTGCATTCTTAACATGACTCTAACTGAAAAGTTGTACAGTTTTTTTTAAGATTTTTTTTAAACGTTTTTTTTCTTTTGTTCTGTAAAAGAAACTTGTTGAAATATTTTTGTGCTGAGAATTCTATATTGTACCAAAATATAATATCGAATAAAGCCATAAATAAATAAATAAATAAAAAGTCAGGCATAGAATGTATTTCAGTAGAAGTTCGGTGAGGAACGGAATAGAATTGGTATGAAAACGCATGAACAATGAAATCTGAGACAATGGATTGATGTTTGCAACAGGAACAGTCAAGTTTGATATGATGGATTGATGTTTTGCACACTAACGATTTACTATATGGTTCTCAAATTTTATTGAGATACTCTGTAATTTAATGTCAAATACATTCGGTTATCCCCACGCGTGTTCGTGTTCACTACAACTTAAAGTTAAAATATCTATGAAGATCAACATCCGTATTTCTTAAATTATGAAACGTTTTAAACTAAATTGCTTTGATTGAGCAGTTTCGTTCTATGAGCTAGTTTAATTAATTGTGAAGCTTTCATTTTTTTTCTAGACAACATCATCAGCACAAGCTTTCCCACTACTTCAAAACCAAATTGTTTGTTTGCGATTCATAGAACTGTACATCATTACCTTGAATACTTTATATTTTCAGTGGTTCCGACAAATTGATTGGTCAACAAGTTTTTAAATTACTTACTAACATGTGTATTAGGTATGATCCTCATGCATCGCATAATATTTTGCTTTATTCATATATCTTCCATGCTTATAGTTTTTAAAATAACTTCCATTTTGTAGCCTCTAGTTATATAATTCAATAAGTGTATTTTTGTATATCCTACAGTTTTATTTACACTCACCTAAAAATCCAAATGTTTTGTGTTTCTAATACCAATAGATTTATTTTCCCATATTTCATTTATAGTATAAAACTGATCATGTAACAGAAATAAATAAAACACCTCATTGGTCTGCTGACTCAAGATTTTCCATAAATAATTATTCGAAGGCTAGTCAAAATGGCCTACTAAATCATATTAGTCATCCATCGATCAAAATATATACAGAATCTGAAGTTCAATCTGTTCCAACACATAATGAATATCCTTTTACAAATGAAACCAGCAAAACTGAGGTAACTCCTAAATTTATAGAAACTGATGATTTATGTTTATATTCAATACCACTTAAGTAAATGTATATATTTGGGGTATATTTTATTGTGTAGGTAGACAACATGGAATGTATTAATACCATAATATTAACCCCATCAGTTTTTAGTTTATCGATCTTTAGTTTATTTTGTTAGCAATTATCATTGTTCAAGTAATTTAGACACTCTCAAAAGATAAAGAGCGTTTAGTGGGAGAGTTAACAAAGTCATATATTTTCTTAAATATTCATTAATCGCTTAACAGGAAAATGAATGTGTTAGAATCCATAAGTACCATGATTACAGTAACTTGTTATATGATTAACTATGATAAGTGTAAACTTCAACTGATTACCTGTTAACTACGAAAATGCTATTTGCTGTCAGAGTTCAGTAAATAAACAGACTACGTTAATGGGTCATACGTGATACTGGAGAAAAAGGACCTTCCAGTTTGCTGAATAATATCACTTATATGTTCATAATCATAACCGAAATAATAAACCTGGTTTCAGCTTTACTGTTTAAGCATTTTATCATATGTATATCATATCTTTAATGCACAAAAACTAGTACTCAAGGGTATATTTTGACCAAAAGATGTTAGACTTGTCGATAAGCTATATTGACTGTTTCGCATGTATTTAATAATTTGGCAAACATTTCTTATCGTCTTGCCAAAACGTACGTTAGAATACTGAAGCTATCTTAAATAATATGCAGAATTTACTTTTATTATACCAATACTTACACCTATCCTCGTTAGTAAATTTTGTTATTTTAAATTTATCTGATTAACAGTGAATTACATGTGAAGCACTACATATTTCACAAGTGACAGCAGCTAAAACTTAGTAAGGACATACAAACTTAGCAATTTTCTTCAATTAAATTTTAGAAAATTATCGTTTCGCAAGATTGAGAAAAACAAATTTTGTGTGTGATATACGGTAAGGACAAAATGTCTACGTAAGCTATTGTAAAGAATATAGTTCAACGTAAATAGCAACTGTTATAAATCAAGCTTCAGTGCTAAATATTTGTGTACCATGCTTAAACATATCGAAATAACACATGTTTTAATGTGTAAAAAACACATTTATTAAGAACAGACGAAAAGTAGACATTTTTTCAAATTTAGCTACGTAAATACTTGCATAGATTTTACAATTAGCGAAACCTTACTTCAGTTCACTTATTCTGCATCCTATCGTATAAGTATTGTATATATTGTTAGGACAAGACTTCGAGGCATTTATTTGACAAATATATTTATTGATCAAGCTGTAAATATCAATAAATATACATGACCAAGCTATTCAAATCTGAAATAAAAATAAAGGAGCTCATTAACTTTTGTAATCCCATTATCTAAAATACTAGTCATTCAGAAGTATCTGATCACATTGTTTTCCATATATTGAAACTACTAATTTCAGAAATTATGAAGTTTTTATACAGGAATTTCAAGTTATTTAAATAACTTAAAATGTGCAATCATTCAAAGCTTTTAAAGAGCTTAGATTACATGTCGACAAATTATTGAATAATACAAATTTTATTATTGTGTTTCTGTGATGTGTGCTACTTATATCAACATAAGTAGAATATGACGTTGGTCGTGAACAGAATGTCTGGTAGCAGAGAGACAAGAGGATAGAACAGTAATGAGTGGAAACAGAATGCGATTTTTATGAAAATGCGAGAACAATAAAGTCAGAGTCATTTTGAGACAATTGATGGACATTTTGAAAACTAAGTATTTACTATATGGTTCTCAGATTTTATTGAGATGCTCTGTAATTTTGTGCTTAAGTACATTCGATTGTCGCCACGTGTGTTCTTGTTCACTACGTTTCCTTAATAATGGTAGGCCAGCTAGCACACTCAGTGAGTTTTGAAGATGGGTCAATTTTCTCAAACGCTACATAATATTCTTAATGAAAACTAATTCTTCAGGCCTGATTTTTAATTGCCATCGTTCTAGGTCTTATTACGAATTCAAACAAATAGAATAATATTAACTTAAAGTGATGTCAATTAGCGTCATTTTTGAGACCTATGAGATATTTATAGATTGATATTGTCAAATAAAATAAAACTTTTCGAAAAATATGTATCATTTTCAACTCAACATGCTTTACAGCACCATATCATAACAGTTAATAAATGCAGAAGCATTTACTAAATGAGTGTGGGTGAACATGAATAAATAAGAACAGATAGAAAAAATGTTGCATTTGAGGAGAAATAAATATTAACATTAAGATTTACATAGAAAGAACAAAGAAACTGAATGCTCCCTACTGTGTTCAATTTTAAATTTAACAACACATCGAATTCAATCACTGGGTCTGATCAGATGATGACCTTAAGCGAACAGATTTATACCCTTCTAGATAAATTATATTAATCGGAAACTGTAATAAATCAACGTGAATTATTTACTTGTCCCTCATAAACTTGTTTCATCCAACTAATCCCATTCAAGTTAACACTACAAAATGATTTGAAAAATAACTTTACATACTTGATGTATACATCAGACACCGCATTTAATTTTCCACTTAGAAATAACCAAAATCATCAAATATTAAATTACTTCAAAGCTGAGATTTGTATAAAACGATGACTACTTTCACAACCAATAAGACTAATGAGAGGAATGTTTTCAAAGCCAGAATTTTAAAAAGATATCCATTACCAGAAAAAGTTTTTGTTCTCCCTGCACGTGAAATATTTTACCAAAAACCATTCAGGCTAAAGTTACAAATTTGGGACATACCTTTTTGCCCCTTTTGATGATCGACTCAAAAAATTGCCTAACATTATCTACATTGCTACATTAGGTTAATTAATCAGTTTGTAACGGAAATTCAACTTTTTATTGGTTCTGAAGATGATTTGATTTGTCTTACGAGCTGGGAAGGTCAATAATTCGAACAGTTAGGATCATATCATTTCCAAGTGCAAGTTTATAGAATTGAACACAATGTAAAAAATTCTAGTTATCTATCATAGATGATAAATAAATTAACAGAATCGTTGGTCTGGATGATGGCTTTAATGATAGACAGGACAAAACATTTTGACAGGCATGCGAAAACTGGAATGAAGAATTACGAAAGAATTTGTTGTTTTTGACTGGTAACAATTAACTTGTGAGGATCAGGTTAGACATTTATGCGATTTTTTAAGTTTATCCACCATTTTCACTAGTGAAAACTTAAATATTTATCGTAACCCTCAAGGATTTTTCATGTAATACACAATGCAGATGTTTGGAATCTTCGATTTCTTGATTACAAAAGAATAAATAAGCTTTTAACAATGGACTGTATATACATAATTCTAAAAAATTATTAATTTTTCATTTAAATTATGAAATATATGCAAAATACAGTAAGATTATGTATTTTAAACATATTTCTACTTTTGAGTTCGTGCACTTCAAGGTAGCACACAAAAAAAAATAAGGGTAAGCCTAACAGAAATAATAACTACTCGGTGTATTTCACACCTTTAAATTTACTCCGAGTGTCATTGGTTGACCCAACACTCATTTAGTGACAACATAGTGAGGAGAGATTTTTAAACGTGTTTAGTGACCGTAACCTTATGGTTTCGTAGATATTTATATTTAAATGAAAACGAACTTAGTAATTTAATTGAGATATTTCTTTTCAAAAAAGCCTTTAATTTGTCTTTTGAATACTCTTGTAAGTTATTCTTCTGCATTCTTATTCAAACCTCTTAACCTAAAACTTCCATTTATTTCTTCGATTTCAATGAGACAAAGCTATATAGGTACGTTGTTAGTAATGTATCAATAAAGTTAATCCAGATTTGAAAGGATGCATCAATTAGATATGATAAAATGAATCGTCACATTAAGTCGATCAATGAAAGCACCAAAACAATCAAAAAAACATTAAATTTTCGGTAGTATATAAAAATTACTAAAGATGTTGAAGTTTTGTTCTACATGACACTGATCACTTTTCAATTGAAATTATTTCAGTCACCATCATAAGGTGACTATTGTCTATTTAGCTTTTTTCTATTTCCAATGATTTTATTCATTTTTATCAAGATCAAATTAACATTTTGCTGTCACGTAGAATATCGCTTCACTGAAATAGATCAAAACATCTGAAATTATATCTAGTTTCGATTGGTTATTTTTGAATTGTTGATTAATATCACACACTTAAAAAAAGTAATAACTTGTTTTTCATCACTCACATCAAACGGTTTGAATGAGATAATCATAAGCAACAATATGCAAATATATCTTTTTTGATAATATTCTTTTTTGTAATGGATTTATTTGTTAGTCTCGAATCCTTTCAATGTATCATAACTTCAAAATTTATTTGCCTGTTTGGTTATGGCTCGAGAAAATAGCTGAAAGCATCTTTTAATTACACTGTAATTAGACTTTCACTTTATATTTAGTAAATATAATTTATGTTATGTCATATGATGCCAATTTAATCGGTATAATAAATCATGTTATTTTTGACCTATCATTAGACTTATAATTATACAGTGTTAAGACGATGTTAATTTCTTCGCTTCATTTTATCATCTAAAATATACGTCCTGTAAAAAAATATTGTTTAGAAAATGTAGTCTGATACCATTTGCTTCATTTTTTTAATTGAATAAAAAGACTATAATAAAACAACTGGTTTGTTTACTTGATCATTCATAAGTATTTCATCCATATTTTCTCACTCGTATAGAATTGTGATTGACACCATATGTTTTTTAAATTTGACTTTTAGAAAATGTTTAACTATATCCGTATACTTAGTCTCTAGATCTAAGACACCAAATCATTATGAAAAATAAAGTGGATCGAGTTAGAAATGAAATAGTGATATATCATTGAAATCGTAAACTAGTCAAAGTTTTAACATCATTGAAAACCTGGAAGCACTGGACGAGTGCTTCGTTCTAGTATGAGACTTTTCAGCAGTGCACGTCCAAGATCTCATACTAGGATGAAACAACCGTCTGATACAATCAAATGATTTGTTTTTGCATTCCAAGAGAAATAGGAAGTAGAGATATGCAAAATATTGACAATCTACCAAAGTTCCTAATGATTGTTTACATTTGAATGAAGGATTGTGTTTTATATCAATCAATGGTTCAAAATTGTGTACTCATTCAGTGGAACTTGAATGATAAAATATCTGTTTATCATGTGAAAATCAATAACAACTTTTTTGGGTGATATTGTGGTGTGTGCTACTTATGTAGACATAAGTAGTATATGACGTGAGCACTAAACAGAATGTCTGGCGGCAGAGAGATAAGAAGATCGAACAATAAAGAATGAAGACAGAAGGCAATTCGTATGAAAATGCAAGAACAAGGGGATTCTGAGTGATTTGAGATAATTGATGAACAATTTGCAAATTACCGATTCAATATATAGTCGTTTGATTTTACTAACTAGTTCTGTAAATTGTTGTTAAATACATTGGATTGTCCCCACGGGTGTTTTATTTCACTACAATATGATCTTCTAGTCCAGATTTTTCTGTAGTATAATTCTTGAAATACGGCTAAATCACTTTGTCGAACATTGTGTTTTCTTCATCATACAACTCGAAACATAGAAACAGAACTTTCTGACAGTCATTTATTCCATGTTGCATTAATTGTACCTATCCACATTTGATTATGTCGAAAGCATTTTGGACTTGAAGGAATACAAATGTTTCGTTGTGTTTCTTCCATATAGGTCTTTCACCACTGTGCTGCTAGTTGTAGTAATTGAACGAAAAATTATTTCTATTCATTTAGTTCCTAGTCATTGCTCTACACAAATATATCAGTTTTACAGGTATAAACATATTCATACTAAATAAGTGGTAATTAGTCAGTATAACAATTCCTCTCAATATTTTTATTAAAACTAGTAATCACTTAACGAATCCACGAATACAAAATTAAGTCTAAAATCAAAATTGTATTGTCGTTAATCATAACAAATAGTTATTTAAAAATAAGAATTGATTAATTTCGAAATTAAGCATTTGAATATGAATATTTGATGGTATTAGTATTATTAATAATCCAAGTTAATAAAACGGGTACAAAAAAATAGATAAACAAATTCTAAGGATTACCTAATGATGAAATTAGAAATGAAAATGAGACCAAATCCACAAGTGTCCAGGGATATTAGAGTATCAATGCAGAGGGACAGGATAAGTTAAAAGATTGTGCAAATCTTTTTGTTTACAAAGATTATGTTTATTATTGTGAATATCTGTGACTTCTGTTATATGTAGAAAATGAATTCCCAAAACATAGAAAGTTTGATAAATAACTCTGAAAGTTAAGTTCATATCAGTTTTGTGACCGTTATATATTAAATGTCCCAGAATGGAGTTTCTTGTTATTTTCTTTTATCCTTTGTTAAACCTATATAAATATTGTTCAGTCTGCTATGCTTATGTTCTACTGTTTGTTTCGTGTTCGAAAACTGTCAATTTTGTATGTGTAGCTCCAAAATGATAAATCATTGAGTTGTAACTTAAAAAGCCAAATGATTTAAACTCTTGCACCTAAGTATTTGGATTTTTGCTCCCTATTTTCAAACAGAGAGTGACTACAGACTCATAGTGCCAAAGGAATATTTTAGTAACTATATTTGTAACCTATCACAGCTTACGATTATACACTTAAGGTTATTCTGGACAGAAAACATGTTCATCACTACTTTCTTAAAGAGATATTTAGCTTTTATACATAATTCGGACCGAAACAATATCTCATTATCTGGACAAGCAAATCGATTTTGATGATCTGAGTAGTTTGAAATTATCTTAAACAGTTTATTTCCTATTGATGTAAGAAAATACTCGAATTTTCCGTTTGCCAGATTAATGACTAGCTTTATTAGCTCTCCGAATGTTGTTTTGTGATACAGGTAGTAAGCCGATAGTATATGTTGAAGCCTAGTCGTTTCATAAATATGAAATTATTCAGCATCCTTATAGTATCTTAAATATATCGTTTAGACCAAAAATCAATGGTTTTATCATCATATTTCAAACATGTCTTCGTTATAGGTCGCCAATTTTACAGAATCAAAAATATTTCAAAACATCATCATATAAATCTAGAGCCCTAGTTTGTACACAAACAAATATTAAATCCCAAAAATAAATGGTATTTTTTCCATTAATGTCACATGACCAGCAGTAATGACCAAAATCATATCACATCATGAGATTAAGAAAATGAAAAACCTTTTGAAAACTTTATATCATATGTGTTTTTAAAATCTATTCTTTCTATAGTTCTGACAAACATCAAAAATATACTGTATTGTAGAATATGGCAATTTCGAATGACTAATAATAGTTCTAGTTGTGTATAATGCTTTGAATATTATTTTCTAAATATTTTACAATTTCTTCGAAATGTTTGTTAATTAACTTTAGCCTAAATATTTTCTTTCTACTTCTTTTCTATTTTTGTAAAACATAAACATGAATTAGGCGGAATATTATAACTTACATTTATCTTCTGTGTTTAACTATTAAGCTAATATTAAATTATGATCATTTATTATTGTTACTTCATTTTTATCATGATTGATGATTTCACTTTATAGAATCTACTTTCGATTTTGAAAGATTGATAATTTGATAAATTGAAAACATATAAAATTTTATTAGAGGTAAAACTTACATTTTTAAAAATGTCAGGGATTCAAAGTTAAACAATTTCAAAGATTCATCCAGTAATTGTGTCAAGAACTCTTCAGAGCAATAATTTAAATCAAAAGAATATATAATGTTTAACGATCAACTCTACACTAAAAGCTTATCTAAAATCCAATTTAATTGTTGACTTTAGTAAGAAAATGTGAATCAGTTACGCATAAACAGTGTGGAAATTTTACGATATGAAAAAGAATGTGTATGTGTGTATCTACTATTACAAAACCAAAAACTGTATATGACTAAGTATGCTTTCAGTGTAGATTTTTCCTAAAATGTGGTGTCTTCAGTGATTTTGATTATTATCCTGAATAAGTCCAGACAAGCTTATTGAACAAAACGTTGGAATTACTTATATCTCAATCTCTAAAATTATCGCTTATATAATTTTTACATATAATTTCTTCTATGAATTCGGCACCCGATTTCTGTAAAACTATTCATGCAAATACTGATGAATATTCGTAAATATATGAAACCTCATTTTTAAGAAAACTTAATTTTTTGAACTGATTTAGGAAGGTAAGCTGCTATGAAAGAGATATTAATTTCACATTTGAGCATTTTGATGGCTTGTAAATGTAATGTAACGTGAAACTCAATCTCCCTACATGTCCGTTTGAATCACAGTAATGTATGAATTAAGTTTTAGCCAGACTACAGTCTTTGAAATACTTTTTAAAATAGACTTCTGAATATTTTCTATGGAATTATACAAATTAATCAGAGCTGTCTTAAGGAAGTCCCTTCTTAATATTCTTTAAATTGTAAAACATTTCATTTGTCGATATTATCTTATGTTCGATATTCCTTGTTTGACAGATCTTCTTCTTCTTAGGTATTTGAAAGCTTACTGATGAGAAGCAATTCTACGTTTGCATTGTTTAATAACAGCTTGCTTGTAGAATATATTTATCCATTCTAAGTACTTTCCAACGTTTAGAATACTGTAAATATACATTCGATTTCAGCTTTAAACAGACCAACCCTTGGATCTACGTACTTGTTAAAAATCAATCTCAAGCTTCATATATTTATAACACTAATTAACAAACTATGAGTGATAATATAGTACCAATGAAAACGCTTTATGGTATGTAAATACTTACACGACATTTCTAGAAAAAGCTACAATGGAATCTTCGAAAAGATTTTGAAGCATACTTATTCATTTTTTATTTTCATACTTCTTTGTAGCCTATTCGAACGATAGATGAAACTCTGATTTTTGGAAGGGGAACAAGAACACAAATAGTGACTGAAGATTCCGCTCTGTCTCCAAACAAATTAGCTAACAAACATGGATTTTGGTCTAATTCAAATCAAATTCCACCTACTGTTTCACAACAGATGAACCCATCCACAAAACAACAGGATAACGTTTCTTCATATAAAAGGTAAGTAGTTATGTTGAGTTGTGTGAATTTTGACTGCAATATAACAGCATGTTAGTGTGGTGCAAAATTAATTAATGAGGGCTTAACTTGTAGTCAATTAAATTACCTGAGATACATCTCTTTGGATGGAAAAATTGTAGAACTTTTCAGATATCCATGGTAAACTACATCACAGCTATATAGCTTTAGATGAAGAATTTTAGTTTGTTTGATAGTCATGAGTGGTGGTTATCAAGTGTTAATAATTTGTTTGGTATAATCTTGCAAGGACTTTCTACAAATATAATTAAAGGGAACTAAACTTGAACCAGCTAGAAATAATAAGAGTAATTTGGTTTCACTAAATGAAATTGCGGCGATGTTACATGAACCGACGTTTAAAGCGTCGTTCATGAAAAAATATAACTTATAATAAAAAATTCCGAAAGTATCGACAACGAACTCTAAAAATAACTGTTAACATAACATAAAAGCACCAGTTTCAAAAATGTCTCAGTGTAATATTTATAAGAAAATGAACGATATTCGTTATTGATTTACACTCTACAATTTCATTTAAAAATAGATTATTCTTGAGACCATTGAATCACATAATGAAAGATAAAGGATTTTTGTTAATATAAAAAATTCCTTAATTTATTATATTCAGCGAAATTGAAAAAGGTGCACAGAAACAGTCTAAAATAATCGGTGAAAGCATCATAACCCGATGAGATTATAGTCTTTTGTACAAATTGTTTCGTTTTTTTCTCATTGTTTTAGAATTAAACGACGGACTTCACTATATAAAATGCTGTCCTTGAACTAAGCTTTATAGAGTCAAACAATTTAGCGTAAAAAGATTTACTTTTAATGTTACGTTTTTCAAAGATATACTGAAATAAAACTAGTAATATTCTGCAGCTATGCTAAAATATTTCATAGCACTTTTCAGTTTTCTTCTTACTATTTTGATTTGAGTTAAAAGAAACTCAGAAGACATTATTAATAAAACTATTATCATCAAATATCAAATATTCATTGATGATGTCAACAAGATAATAAATTTTTTAACATTTTCAGATAATTACTCTAGAGATAGTTACTTTAATTATGAACAGCTGTCAGCCTATCCTATCTCACGTTTTAGACAAAATACATCTGATAGTGGAGTGTATATTGACGAACACATTTCTTTATTTGAGTCTTCAAAACCTTCGATATCAAAATATTTAATTGCTGTTTTCAATTTATTTGTTTAACATTATATTTAACTTAATAATTTCATATTGATTAGATTTAGAAATAGTAAATTTCCTTGCAAAAGTCCTACCATTCTACTCATAGGTTAGGAAAATTAATGTTTTGCAAAGTCTATCATTTGTAACTCTTGGGATTATTACCAGTGATATATATTCTAAATTGTACCTAACTGACAAACACCAAAATGTTTCAAAGAGAAACTTTTACCACAAATTATAGATTGATATACATCAAAAAAATGAATATAGACGAAGTATCTTTAAAAATATGCGAAATAGGGTGGATTAAGTTAGATAAAACTATGATCAATTTAGGTACATTTGAAAACATCACGAAACTGGCAATTATTAAACACGGGGGTAATTTTTTCTAAACTAGAATATAATTGGTATAATAAAAATGCACCCAATTCAATCTGAAATTATTCCCATTTTGATATAAATATAAAACAAAGTTTCAATAATAATATTAGTTATATTTTCCCAATGAACTCCATCTTGTAGATAAATATTGGTATCTAAAATATACAAAAAAGTACATTTGGAATAAAATTCTCATCGAAAGTCAAACCTAGTGCTGTTTCGAAACAAGAAATATTTATACTAATGAAATTATTTGAATATCTGTTTCAAGAAGAAATTGAATAATTTTGTCTTAATCACTCAAGCTTCCCTGACTATGAGACACATCATAATATTAACCTTACTTATACCGGTTAATTTATTAACAACATTCTTTTGTCGGGATATTAGTTATTACAGAATGTAAAATTAGATAAACAATTCCTTAAAAATTATGGTTTTCCTTCACTTAACCGTTTTATGCATTTCATGTGAATCTGAATAGGCTCATTACATTTGGTGCGTTGTAAAATTTTTATGATTTCGTAAATGAATACGTGAAACCAAATAAATTGATACAACGTCGAACAACTGGTTTTTTTCACTAGCTTCGTGCCTATAGATATATGATGGACGAGAACACAAGTGTGGATAACCAATTGTATTCTAATACAAAATTACAGAGTATCTCGGTTAAATATAATAATCATATACTGAATGCTTTATTAACAAATTTCTATCACTTATCCTCCACATACTGTGTGGTTCCTTTCTATCTTCACTTCTACTTTCGTCAACTTGATCTTCTTAGCCTTCTATTACCAGGGTTTCACTTTCGATCGGTGTTACATACTACTCATGCTTGTCGACATAAGTAGCATAAAACCACATATCCTCACAATGAATTTGTTCAAACGATTGGCTTTTCTGTACTAAAAAATGAAATGTTTCTTTAACATCTATCATTATATATATCATTTACAATTCACCTCTCATACACGACTGATCCTTTACTAGAGCTTATATTTCATATTCTTAACTTTCTGAGCATAATTATCATCCGTTATTTTGTATCGACTACTGGTTAGAAAATATAATGTTTCCTTTGGTAATGTACCAGGCTCAAAATGTATTCACATCTGAACCAGAGGGTAAACGAAGTGAATTTATTTCTTTGTTGATTGATCTGAATGAATTTTAAAATTTCAATTCTATGAATAACAAAATTTATTTGCACAGATTTAGCTATTACACAAACGTTTTTTCGCCCAGATTTCACCATTGCAAGTTATGTTTTTAACTGTTATTATGTATTTTTTTTGTTGTTTTCCTAATAAAATATCAATTTAGTGATTTATTTTACCGAAGAAAATCTGATAAAATAATACAAACAGATGATTTTGATGATGATTCATGGATAACTGGAAGCTTAGATTCTCCAAATAATCAGGTAATAAAATTTGTTTTAAAACATCTCTTTTTGTTTCTTTTTGTATTTTTTTGTTTAAATAATCAGAAGAATGATTTCAATCATTTGAAATTTAATTTAAAAGATGCTTCATAAAATTCTTTATTTAGAAATTCTTCTATCTTATCAAAATATCCATTCAAGTTATGGATATTCCTATCGGTTTAAACTCGTTATGTCAAATGTTGCTGCTTATAAGTTATATCACTGTTGATGATAATCAGTTTTTTTTTTGAATACCAAAATTCACTGTGTACATGAAAGTTAATAATCTATATTATTTTATAGAACTTTTATTTCCTACATATGATGAAAAATTGTCCATTTTTAAAGATAAAAGTCGGTGATAGTTGGACGATAAAAAAAATTTTTTAATCTTGATTTACTAGCAAAATGAAATGCACGAGTCATAGTTTAGTATTTTTATTCGTTTAAATGTTATTGTTTAGCACCTATAATTTGTAAAACTCGAAGGGATGATAAAACCATATGAATATTAGGGAATAGACGTGATTGTTTTGTACACAGAGGTTCAGTTTGAAATGGTGAATTTTCATAGCTTCAACTATGTACAAACTCTTCATTGAATCCTTTTTCGAGTCAGTTATTCTTACATCGCAAGTGATTTTGAATGACAATTCATTTGGTGAAGTGTGACCTAAGCTGACCATGTGTTCAAGGACTGAGCTATCGAATAATTTATATTCCTTTTTGGATATTCATACGGAGTAGTGTTCGGATATTCGTTTACCAAATCCACATTTTTTGCAGGTAGTATAACCTGCTCCACAAGATTAAGTAGACTGATAAATGTACATTGAGGTGGCCAAAAGTGGGATTTTATCCTTGACACATCCTTGAATGAGTTTCTTGCTGCTGAAAATAGTTCTGAACTCTGTTTAATAGAACGTTTTTCTCAGTGATCTAGATAGTATTGAACAGTCTATTGCTTCCCATACGAGGCTCGATAGTCACTGATTCTGTCATATTAAGAATCATTAGTCATTTAAAATAGCTGAGAATTATTAAGTTACAGTGCAACAACAGCCGATTTTTAATAGTTCTGCGGATGATATCAATTTCTGACAAAAATAATACTTCAAAGATATCTTTGTAATGATGTCATATCACATTTTGTCGAACGGTAATATAATATGCGAAAAGTTATAAAGTGATAATGCAACGTTGAGTGTTTTTAAACTTATTTACAACTAAATGCAAAACGTTGTGACGATCCAAGCTATTCTATAAACAGTCAACTTTGAAACTAGCCAAGAAATTCACTACAATTAATTGAGCTAATCTGTTAACTTATTTTTATGTCCACTATAATTCACTGACTACTGTTTAGATCAGTAAACGACAAAACAAATTTGTGAAAGTTTTGGGACCCGAGTATTTGACTTTGTTAACGAACCGACCACATATCTTCCATTGGACAGATTGTTAAGTAGATTGCGGGAGATTTAATGTATAGCATTTTGGTTTACATCAATCGTTTCCAACTTAATGAAGTTGAAGAGTTTTTAATACAAGTAACGAAGATACTTAGAATGATTTCTGTTTATAATAAAGTCGTCTTTTAGTAATTGCGTTGGTATAATTCATGTCTAACAGACTTTTATGTCGACTGAATTTAGAAACAGTTACTTTATTAATAATTTGCATCATTATCTATTGAATGATAGAATCACTCATTTCCATAAATTTGTCTTACAAATTACTCTCATTTTACAAGGTTTATAAATATTCTTTAAATCTTATTGTGTTGGTTTTTTAATGTTCGTCATAGAACAAGTGGTGAGAATAGAAGAGTTATAAGAAAAGTGAAAGTGGTGTTTGTTTAGATCGATTTATATAAAATACTATTAGCTGCTTTATTTGAAACTATTTGTTAGATTCCACTGATTTTCCTCTCAATCCATGATACAATTCTATAAGAACGACTACATTATTTTATTGACTTTTGAGCTAAAAAATGTGTCCCTATGCGAGATACTGGGTTTTTACTATTATCTACTATACGAATAAGATCTATTAATATTGTTTGGAATATGATGAAAGCGAAGGAAATTACATGATAAAGAATATTTAGACAGTTTCATATTGAAGATAATCTCACATCCAGGTAATTTGCATCTATTGAAAAACTAACCAAACAAAAATGTATATGACAATATCATTTTATAAGCAAATGTCATGTATTTTAACAAAATCCTCTTCAGGTTATATAAATATTTATATTGTTTGGAAATGATTTTATCCGATCACACTACCCAAAAAAATTTATCATATTCATTATAACAGAAAAAAATGACAAAAAGCTAACTATATGAACTGAAATGTTCGATATAACAACATGATTAAAATAAGCGGACTTAAATGTACACATATTCTACCTTAATCATTGTCCATTCATTTTTTGATAAGTTGATATGTATAACTTTATTATTTATTTATTTATTTATCATCGTAATTAAACAAGACAGTATAAATAAACATGTTCATACTGCTTTACATTATTGATATTAACCAGCTTCAACTGAATAAGAGTAAAACTGTAACCTTTTTTATTTGAACATGTCAATCATTAGACGACTAACTGAATGATATATATATATATATATATATATATATATATATATTGCATACATTTTAGGACGTAAAAGATAAATTTAATCATTTGTGTATTTAGAACCTATTTACAGTTCAGAATTTTTCATACCATTCCCTAATAGTGAAATTTATTTATGATATATATAATATAGATTCATGAATTAAGGATTAGCTAAAATAAACTTATTAAGTTCGGGAAGTTCTTGTTTAATTCAACTTATTCTAATAAAAATAACTCAAATACGATGAGAACCAATCATTCTGTTACTGTTAGATACATTTTGGAAATGTCAACCTATTTTGGAAATTACAATTAAAAATATTATCGTTTTCTTTTTGTTTTGTTTTTCGATTTATTTAATACTTTATTGACAATTATTGATAATACATCAATAAATCTGAAGTTTTGAGCAAACCGATTATATCATTAGCTTATAAATGTATATTTACTTGATCTTCCCATTAAATCACTTAAAAATCTGTTATGATAAAATGTTAAAACAATAACTTCATCATTAACCTTCAGTGTCGTTATTAACCTATAATAATAAGTTTTGACATATGCAATTCTAGGGATCTTTGAAACTTTTCTCTAAAAGTATTTATCAATTAAAACAATTAGTATGCTGTATGACAATCTGATTATTTATTCTTGGTGCGTGGGCGAGAATGATAATGATTGGTTGTCTACTTAGTCAGACATGTAGATAGTCTGACAGGTGTCAGATGAGTTATATATTCCCTTATCTTTATAATTATTATTAATTGTTCATTGTTGGATTGTGTCGGGTTTTGGTGTGGATATATATTTACGTTGTGGTCAGGCTAATCACGTGTTCTTGATCTGAGTTGTGTTGAAGTCCTGTAGAATAGACACTGGGAGGGAATCTAGTGTAGATATTCGTCTAAGGTAAATTAACGTCCCATACGTGTAAATGTGGAAAAACAACCGTTATAACAATTCTCTAAAGACTATTTTAGCAGCAAACATTGAGTTTGTATATTAATCTCACTGTTAGTGCTTATATATGTTTATATACTATAGGTTTACGATAGTGCTATGTGGTGATATTATGTATTCTCTATTCATTGACCCACTGTGACCAAGATATATTTTGTCTACCCATGCTGTGTGATATTCCTTTTAATAGTGGTAATGTTAACTTTGGTTTATTACTATCTGATAATTATTCTGCTAATTTATATCGATAAAACCAGCTATAAGTGAATTTTTTATCCCACTAAATAATATTACGTTTGTGTTGACAGTGAGTAATTGGATCTAAATTTAAGACATTTATATTTCTGAATTGAAACTTTTCAAAGACCCATTAATAGAGTGTCATATTGACGTTCAAAATTACTGTGATGGTATCAAACGATAGATATAGATTTAATAATGTCATTATACGACGAATAAACTGTGTACCATTTAAACGTTATTCTTCTTTAAATAAACAAAATATTTTTTCCGACAGTTTAAAACATTCTTTGCTGCTCGAAATCTTTGTATACATAAAACACACTGAAAAGTATCAGAGTTCCAAAGAATCAAATATTTACGTCGTCTATACAATCATCTGACTTTGATCTTAATATTTTTGTTCGACATAGAATAGATTACATCATGAACCCTTGATTCAATTATTATATCAGTCGAAGAAATATGAAACTTCTATCAAAATAGTATTTAAAAACGAAATGTAACCAATTCGCTATACAATAAAAACTTATTTTAAGTTTATTTTTATTATTCACAACTTAATCAGCCTCCTTCTAGTGCTCAAAATACTGATTAAGTATGATTTATTATAAGAATATATATGCATCCAATTATATGTATACATAACGATTGATTTTTTAGCTTGTATAACAGAATAAATTATTATTTTACTTTACGATGAGTTAGTGTAGTGAATGAGAACACAAGCGGGGACAAACGAATGTATTGCAACGCAAAATACAGAATCTCTTAGTAAAATCTGAGAACCATTCAATAAATAATTAATTTGCAAAATGTCTATAAATCGTCTCAGACTTTATTTTTCTTTCGTCTCCATACCAATCATTCGTCATTGTCATTCTCTTTCCTTCAATCTTCTTGAACTTCTGCCGCTAGATTATTTAATTTGGATTAACGATACATACTACTTATATCTTTCGACATCAGTAGCACACACCATATTAGGAATTTCATGTATTTTCTTTCTGTAAACAGGGCTGTTTATTATAAGCATTAGACAAAAATCATATATAGGGTTTAGATATGAAAAAGTTTTAGGTCTGAATTTTTTATTGTAGAGAAATCAAACTGTCAGCTGAAATGAATCGTGATTACATGTTAGAGTTTATTATAAATAAATGAAACATTAGTATGAATAAATAGATCTGGTCTTAATAACTTCATTAATAAATATGTTTAAGGGTGCCTCGTGAGTTGTCTATTTTTGAACAGTTATTAAATTAAATTAAATCTAATTATTGGCAGTATATTAATATTTCATCAATTGATTGTTATTTTTAGATTCCTAGCTAAATACTTTATGTTTAGTCATCAACATTCCAAACCTCGAGAACATCTAACTCTTATAATCCACTTTATACCATTATTGCCATTTTGTTACTTATACAAAGATTAATCACGACTATTAGATACAATTAGTTTCTAAAAGATCTCATTATCTTTCAATAACTTGTAAATTCAATTTTCAAGGCTTTAGAAGAGTTTCGTCTGGTTTCAAATGATTTGCAGCCTCTTTTCTGACAGCATCATGGTTTTTGCATTTAAAATGTAATTCAGATAATATGTAACAAAATTATATTTCTTTCAATGAAATATATCAAACATATTATCGCTACTAATTTTATTTATTAAAATAACTAATTAACTTCTTACAGATCTCAATCTTGATCCTTGTTCTGAATAATATACTACTTAATTTATCAATAGATAATGCTGCAATGAAATAAACATCCAATCGCTTTTAAGTTTAAATACATACTTCTATTAGATAAAATCTAACATGTTTTCCTCATTTCCATGGGATAGCATTTAGTAATAAATGTTGAATGCAGGAAACAATTTTAATTACACATGTATTCACTATATAACAACCCATAACTCGAATACATTGTTGCGTACCTAAAGCTCTCTATTCATATTTTAAGATAAATTGAACGATTCGATTTTTTCTGATTACCTAATCAAACAAGTATTATCAAAAAAAATACGTAGACAATAAAATAGTCAGCTTTTTATGCAACAATATAAATATCATATGTGCTGTATATTATTTATTATATATTTTTATTATAAAACATCAGTATATATTAGAAAACTGATTTAGTTCAATGGTACTTTTTGTAACAAAAATTTGTTCCACTAAATCCCTGACATTTATGTTATACGTTTACCTACCAGCAAAAAAAGTATGAGTTTAAGTGACTGATACTAAAAAATTGGTGATATATTTAAAGTGTACGAAAACTAACTGTTTAACTTTTTACAATGTATTAGTAAATTGATTCTTCGTATACGTAACTACATTAAGTTCGTTTTGAATATGGTTTAAAATGGAGAATCGTAAATTTTAGTCAGTACGTTCTGACAAAACGAAGTGTTAAAAAATGGATATAACAATTGATGTAACTGTTTAAGAGTAATAGACTGAGTGTTAATAAGCTAATTTATTACAAAAGCTCGAACTGTTGGAACGTTTTACGTTAGCAATATAAAGTACAGTTTTATAACTGCGAAACCTACTCAATAATACTTATTTAGTAAGACGTTTAATCTATCAGTATATCCTCTACAGAAAACGATTAGAATGTAAACTACTAATATTTGCTTTAATGGTAAAATCGTATTTCCATTTTTGTAAAATATTATCGCAATAATAAAACATTTAAGACATGTAATAGTTGACTTTATATATTTCCTCTCCTTATTATTTTTGGTTGAAACTAGTTTAAATTGCTTTTAGTGAGATAAATTCCTTGTATTTTGACGTCAGGTAACCTTACATAATGCTGTGTGCTCAAATTAAGGCTTTTCGGTCACATCTAGGAAATAGGTTGAGTGGTAGATTCTTAATAAGTTGCAACTCATTTTAAAAATATTTGGCAGAAAAGCAGTTTATTGTTTCACATAAGAATGGCCATTTAAAATAAAGATATTTAGAAAAACAGTAATTTAGTGAATAAAAATGAAATTATTGTTTACTCAGCTGCCATTAGTTGCGTTTAACAAAGGTATCCTTGCATGAAGCTGTTGCTTGGATCTGCTAAACATGTTCCGTTTATCGTAATTTTGAGTGATTAGAGTATTTCATCATATTTTCAGTCACCATAATAACCAATGAATGAAGAAAAAAGGTGTGATTAATCTCGAAAAATAACCAGGGCAGTTCAAACAACTTGTTGGCTTAGGAAATGAGTTAAACCAAATGATGTGTCACCTTTGATCTCAGTACTTGTACACAAACACGACTTTAATTAAGACTGCTGAAAATATTACCCACTTGCTGACCAGTTTTGGGAGTGGAATAATTTTATTGTCCGAATTATGCTCGAAATTTCGATCAATCAATTTAACATGAGGCGAAATTTCAAGGTTTCTTCATTTTTATGGAAACTTTGCCTAGCGATTTTAAAAACTGAAAACTATGGAAAATCGTAAATGTGCTAACGAATTAAACTAACCTATCAATGAAACGATCTAAACAACTTGTCAAATAATAACATAATAGTTGCATTCATGAGTCGATTAAAGCTAGACTACCATAGAAAACATGGAAGCACTGGACAACCGTTTTGTTCTGGGATGGGATTCCTCAGCAGTGCACATCCGCGATTCCGCTCGCGGGATTCACACCCAGGACCTTTGATCTCGTGCGTGAACTAATCTCTAGACCGCTGAACCGGTATCCAACGGTGCTAATGTCTAACTCCAACCAATTCACAAAATTGCGCCACTCTCCACCATTGTCTTCAATCAGTTACTATCTCACAATAAACACGATTCCAGGTTTTCCATGGTGATCTATCTCTAATCGACTCATGAATTCAATTAATAAATTACTACAATCTCCCCAAAACTCCTTTTCTGAAAATAATAGCATATTTATGCTCTTGAGACCAAACAGCTTCAACTATTGATACTATTAGTACTTACATCCTAAAACAGGATACAAAACTATTTAGATAGCTTTTTAAATAGGTGCATTAGTGAAACTACTGCATAAATATCAATAATATTAACTCCTAGGTATATACGGCACATAACTCAAAACCTATTAATTTTGTTGAAAGTTTATCAGCATTAATTTATTGACTGAATTCTGTTGTCAGTTTGAGCCTATTTAGGAAATTATGTTTGAATTAATATCTTTACAACTAAACAACTACTTATGGGATGGATTATTGAATGCTATATATTGAATGAGTACTTGCATTTCTTTTTAACACATGATAGTTTTTCGTACAAAAAGTATACTATAAATCAATGGGAATATAGTCTACATTGTTAAAAAACGTCCGTTACACGTTCATCACATGTAAAAAGGCAATAATTTTATAAATCTCTTTGTTTTTATGGTAGTAACTATGATAAAAATTACTCATTGACAAATATTGGATTCAGTAAAAATGAACATGGCAGTAACACTCTAATAAAATATTTATAAATGTTTTTTTTTCATTTTAAGTACCATAATCAACTCAACTAGCTTTAAACTATCAAACAATACTCTTGCTGAAATCCAACAACGTTGTATGCACAAATGTGGATATAATGGACTTTGATTTCTTGCAATTTTTAAAATGATAAGTGGATTGTCAAAATGCCAAAATAACTGTTGAAACTACGTAACATTTGTTGTTTCACATTATTTGGACAACATACGAGTATCGTTTGTCATAAACCATGTGAATGAAATCACCTGGTTAAAAGAAATTAAGTAAATAATAAGTATGCATTTCATCGAATACACAATTTTCTCACATGATTAAAATATGTATCCAGAAATGAATGAAACATATTCAGAATATTTACTTGTAATAAAAAAATATCGTACATCACTGCACAGTTTCAAGTTAAACTAATTTCATAATATTTACTTTCAACTATAACAGTGTTTAAATTTGTTTTAAGCTCGACTACATACCTAGTAGTTATACATACATGTCTTTACAAGTCAAAATGTTATAGGAAATCTTAAAAAAACCAGATCTTATTACGTTAATCCAAAACTTGTATTCATTTTATTATTATAGATTTCTTGAATATTAGATGGTGATTGGAGGTAGTCGACAGGAAACCCTGGACCCGGGTTTCGTGCTAATGGCACTCGTCAGCAAGGTGTACCTATAATCTTTGAGGGAACTGGTGCTCCCTGGCGGATTCGATCCCGTGTCACCCAGCTTCACAGTCAGAGATGTTACCACTGAGCTATCCGGGCAGCGACCGACTACCTCCAATCGCCATCTAATCTCACAATAGTGCCCGCAGTGTCGAGTCACCTAGACTGGTGGCCACATTGCAACATGGTCGATAGCATTCGATCTGCACTAATAATAAGGACTAGACAAGCATGACATTGGTCACCACCCAGTGATCAATCAATTGTGATTTCTTGAATATCCATATAGCTTGCTGATGTAACTCGGTTAAAATTTCCACTTCATTATACCACCGTAATTTATTTATTGCAAATTATACGTGATATATCATTTTATGTACTTAGTCACAGTTTGAGACCGTACATTGATAATAATTGTGCAAAATATATACATTAAATTATCCATCGGCAACACATTTTTTGTACAAAAGATGTTTTATGTGCTCTGTATCTTGTCTTCTACGTATTTCTAAACCTTGCACAGATTATAATGAACAGAACACGAGTGGGGGACTATCGAACGTGTTTGACACAAAATTACAAGACTTGTTAATAAAATCTAACAATCATACAGTAAATGTTTAATTTGCAAAATGTCCATCAATTGTCTCAAAATGACTGAGACTTCAGTGTTCTTGCATTTTCATACAAATTGCATTGTTTCCATGCTTTACTGTTCGATCCTCTTGTCTCTCTGTTGCTGACATTCTTTTCACGACTGACGTCATATTCCATTTATGTCGATATAAGTAGCACACACCACAAGATGAAAAAAGAAAGATACATAAAAAAATGATAATTCTGCTTTCATACGTTCTGTTCCATATAATACCATGCCAGATGAGCTTGAGTCCCAGTTTAAGAGTCCTTGAAATTATTTCGTTGTAAAGTGAATTATTTTTTACTTGCCACATCGTTTTATTATTGTTTATTGTTTTTAGGATTTAGAAATTTCATGTGAACCAGAAATTCCATCGCCAGTTGACGAACCAAACCTTCAAACTTGGACTCTGTCTTTGCAAAGTATTGTAAGACCAACGGAGTCAGAAAGCATTTTACCTAAAGCAAACGAAATTAGTTGTATGGAACATATTAATGTACACATTGAAAAAACAAAACCAAGGTAGTATGTCGTTTTATTGCCTCAAATGAGTATAATTGACGACTATAATTATAAGGAATTAGGTGTTTTGGTTGACTATATTAGTCACATAATAACGCTATAATCACTTCTCTTGTAGTGTTTCTGTAAGATTCTCTGAGTATTACAATGTTGTGGGGGGAACTTATACATTTATCTGGCTGTTTTTACTGTGACATTCAAAAAATAACTAACTTTACACAATGTTCAGTCTAACAACCTTCGTATCTACCAGGTTATAACACCACATGCAATAAGAAATAGCTATGATGAATCCAGTAGCAAATAAGTATTGCATATGACTGATAAAAGTCAAATTGCTTTTAATGATGAAGATATTAGCTTAGATATTCTCGTAATAGTGATGCTATCTAATTTTTCAGTATAATTTTAATGTTATCAATGTCCGACAGATTTGTGTGGTAGAAATAATTACTATGTGTGTTTTGGGACTGGCCTAACCTCTTTTTGATTTTAAACTGATGACAATCCTTTCATTTCCACTTTATTTATCAGTGGCATGACGAAATATTGAATGTCAGAATACCGAAATCCAAGTTTAGGGTTATCTGTTGACTTGCTATCTATATATTGCATGTCTACACAAGGATCAGTAAATGTAAGCATGGCCGAATATCTTCAGTGTGAAATATACCCACTTGAATCAGTTTTATATATAGTGCTGGTTTGCAAAACTAGCTTGCACCAATCATGATGCATATCTTAGGATTTCTACACAATTTGTAAAATACATACTATCAGTAATTTCATCTTCAAGGTTACCACATGCATCTTCTTACAGAAAAACGATTTGAAAATTAGACTACAGAGTTTCTTTGTGAATATCAAATGCATTTCTCGGTCTACGTACCACTTAGTAAAAAGACGCCTATGCCAAATTATTAAGACAATCATCTCTTCAGCATACAAGTATTTTTGTTTGACATCTGATATAAGAAATTTACAACATTTACAAATTTTGATGTTCATTTTTTTATAAAATACCTTCAAATATTTAAACATTGTAACTAAAATAATCTAAATTTGTAAATATCTTTTTTTAGTACAATGGTACTGTAGTCATACATTATTGTTTTTATGTTAAAAGAGATAAGTTTAGTTTCTCTCGTTATTTTCATTTTTATTTTATTTATCATAAAACTTAGTGAAAGCAAAATACAGCCTAATTTAGAATGTCACAGAGAGCTATGGCGTCGTCATTCACTACGTATTAATCCTTCAGAATCTGATAATCATCAAACAACACAACGAAATTTAAATCAGTTCAATGACCGCGTAAGATGATTCATCAATTTACACTTGTTACATTTATGACTGAACGGTTTGTTAATTGATCATCTAAGTTTACATGCAAGATACATCATTTTTTTTATTCTTTTAAATTACTACTATACTTATATGTCCTATAAGTTTGAGTACACTAATAACTAAGACAAATTAAAAAATGTTGGTGTGAAATTAAAATAATCAATTTTGGAACCCAGATAACAAGGACATTTAGGCAAACATTTAGTTTAAGTCTCGATCATCTGATCTCCGAATTTTAATAGCCAATGATTTCTCAGCGTCTGCCTGCCGACTAAAAAAATCACCATTCTGGTGATACACAAGCTCAGTACTATTTTGCCGTCAAAAAAACTAAGTCCTCTTTTCCCGTTTTGAAAAAGGACAGAAGTTATTGAAGCTAATCAGTAACGGAAAAACTATTCATATAAATTCAAAAAAAAAAAAGAAAAAGTCGTTAGAAAGGAGTATTTACATAACCTCCTAAATTACTTGCTTTTACTAGTTATAGTACTTTAATCTTAGTATTTGTTGTGTTAATGTATTAAGCTATTGAATAATTAATATAACGCTCTCCTCAGTTGAATTTTTCGAAATTTAACTATTATTCCAAAAAATTAAGTATAAGAAAATCAGTACATTGAGGCATAGCTTTTGATCTCATTTGAAAGTGCTTAGTGATTATTTATCCTATTGATTAAATCATCACTAAGAGAAATAAAAATTAATTGTGCTTTCTTAACTTGTCAGACGTTGAATATCTCTTCTTTCATTTCTGATTTTTTCCAGCCAAATCAAAGACTTTCTTTACCCCGTAAACCGAGAAACACTTCACGATTTAGTATAGGGAGCTCAAGTGAACTTGAAACTCCAAAATGTCGTAGTGTACACTTTTCAAATGATGTTTTAGTGGCTCACACTGGCTCAGGACCAGAACCTCTACTACTATCTTCAGCTCCTCTAAAAGAACCAGCTTCAGATGATGAGCAAGGACAAAATGGAAAGCCAAGTTACTTCACGAAACTTTCAGTTGACTGCGGTCATAATATGTCAAATTTTTCGAAACCTCCTAAATCTCGAACAAATATAAACAGACCTTCAGCTCCATTACCTTTTCGTCGACAATTTGTTCTTAACACTTCAAATAATGTCAATTCTTAAGTGACAAATAAATACATGATGAAAGTGATGTGTCGATATTTTTTTCTGATTTTGTCACTAAAGGTTCATTGAATCCTACTACCTAAATAACATTTATTCACGTTTAAAACAATAACAATTGAAGAAGAAATCATTGATGCCCATGAAGTATTCAGTTTTTGCTTATTTCACTTGAATCATCACAGTCATCTCATATTCCCCAATTTTAGTGCCTTGAGCAATGCTATTAATTTTACTACGCTATTACTCATTAACTGATTGTGTGCATTTCGAATCAAATATGCTCTTTTTGTTAATTTTGATTATCCAGGGTTATTTATAATTCTGAATTTCATCTTAAGCTTCATTTATCTCTATTTTCTTGTTGCAATACATGGTAGAAATGTTTATTTACTTAACTATTTATCTAATAGTCTAGACTAACAAATAGGTCCCACACAATACTTATATCTGACAGTTTCAAAACTCAACTCATTTGAAACTGTCAGAAAGTATTAGATAAATTTTGTCATATTGAATTAATGAGTTATGCCTTCAGATTCTTAAATCAAAGCATTTAACATTTATAAGTTACATTAATATAGTATGTAGGCACTATATGTATATGTCTTTACTATGGCAGTGTTTATTTTTATGGTTCTATTACTCTCTCACTTCACTTAACCTTCTTTCACAACTAACTATAGTATAAATAATATTCATTTTGTTTGTTTTCATTTTACTATCATTTGTACCACGATATATTTGTGTCAAAATGATTGTCTATCACAGATTCAGATAAAAAAAATATTATTCACACAAAATTTAGTTCATATAATTATGTAAATGTTGATAATGATAATTTTGCTGTATTGTGTTGACCATTTTTACTCATGATTTTAATGAATAAACATAGGTAATTAGTTTGTTCGTTCTTGTATGTCGTATCCTTAGTGTATATTGATATCTATTAAACTAAAAGTCCTATTTTCATGAAAATAAATGTACATTTTGGCCTACAGTACTATATTTCCCGATGTGAGCAACTCATTTTGAGTTGGATTTGACTAGTGTTTTCGTCTTAATTAGGACAAAAATGAACATAAGTACAGAGCTAACGACCCTTAATTTTGCCGACGTTTGTCCAGTAACGAGGTCATCTATAGAAGTCGTCTGAAGCGTAGTTCGAGGAAGAGTTTCTCAATCTTATTCATAAAAGCAATAAAAATATTAGAAACGGTAACCTATATTTGAAGAATTAGTATGCTTATAAAGACAAAAAAATATTTATATTTGTGTTCACTTGACTATATGAATGTATAAATGTCTTTGTGATTACAGTTTCATATGCTGTAAGAAAAAATTAGAATAAATTATATAGAAAGTATAGATACAAGCCAGCTTTAGTTGCAAACACGTTTGATCTTTTTGACACACAGAAACAACCAAGAGTCTGGAACAAATATTTATCAGTTTATGTAAAGAAGATTTATATAAGCACAATAAGAAGAAAGAAATGTAAATAACATAACAACTATTGGTATAAAACCATAAGTAGGGAAATATTTCAAGTAATATAGTTGTGACCAGAGGATGAAACACATGAAATATTAACAAAGTGAAAATCGATAGTAGGGTGAAGAGTGGATTTATCAATGTAGCTCTGTCCGATCTAGACTATATCATACATAGTAGATTACAACATAGATGCCGGAACTTTTCTTGAGTACAGTTATTAGCTGACTAATCTAACACAATATATGGATCTGAATGACTCTAGTCTTCTTTACATCAAACTCGTGTGCTAACCGCCATGTATGATACGGTACATTCCTAAGATTGCCTTTATCCATAACAGAATATGTCATAGAACCACTTTATATTTAAATCACTGTTTGCTGAAGTTATTTATTAACCACCATAATTATCTAGAACAGTTATTCTGAAATGTCAAAATTCAATTCATACTACAAAATGATTACATATTTGAAGAAGGCTACACATAAACTCTGCAGAAAATCTCATATCAAGCTCAGTCACAATAAAATAACAAACGCATCCAGGTTTGATGATGATCTGTTTTTAGAATAATAAGCAATAAAATAAGTAATTAAGCAGTAGCGAATAGTAGATCATTGAAGTGTTAAAAATTAGAAGTGCAGCTCTTAAGTGTTAATCACATTTTAATATATATGTAAATTAAAGTATCTATTACTTATGTATAGTGAAGTTTTAACAGTCGAAAACTAATATAATTTATTAACCATAACAATTGAATACTTTATTACAATGTTAGGTCGACGTGTTCACTGAGTTTATAAGTTTTACTATGATGAAAATTATCTTCCACACATTTGGTTTCATCTTATTATCTTTCCTTAGATTCTCGTTCATTACGCAACCCTCTTCTGACACTTAAAATTATGTAACTCTCTTCATTTTCAATAGACTAATTTACTTGCTAATCAACCATAAATATGATAGTATAGATTGAGTAATTGATATTATCGGAAAGAAATATTTCTTCGCTGAGTTGTATAACAATTAAAACAACTGTAGTTTAAGTTTGCAATATACACCAACTCCAGCGTAGATAGACAATTTTTTACACCTTTTCCCTATGTGTTCTCCAAAACGTTTTAAGAAAAATAGTAAAACCAATAATTAATTCAGTAATTATCGCTTTAATAACAATGAGCTCTAGCAATCCCGACATCTTTTATTTGGATTCATATCCGATCGTCATTATAGTCATAAATAATTTGTTTCATAGGATTCTATATCATTATATTTTTGGACAATATAAAGGTGAGCACCTAGATATATTGAGTTTATATTTTAACAGCACTGAAACCAATTACTAATTGTTTGGTAGCTATAGAAGACAAACACAGTTGTTTTAATGTCAGCCACTAGATTGTCTCTAATCCTTCTTTAATTACACAATGGGTTACTTTCGTTAAGTGCATAATTTTACAAGACGTTCCATTACAAAAACATTGGGGAAAATACAACTTTGAGATATGTTACATCTCACTATATTTTTTAAAGAATCTTTGCAAGAATTGTTGAGAGATCAATATTTTCAATCAAGTGATTTTAGTGGTGGGTGATGCTTTATTTTGACTATTATTTCAGCTTTTACGGCAATACACAAGTAAGAGTAATCTGTAAGAAATATTCATTTCATTTATTAAAATTTGTTTTCCATGTGATTGATCTTAAAGGTAAGTAATAAATCATTTGTTTAAAAACAAAACACTTTTTCAAATTAGATTGTACATAAATTGAATTGATCATACAGAACCAAAAATTATCGTGTTCATTCATCTGCAAATATGAACATCAACGAAGACATTAGAAGCATTAGCAATAATTTTACTTTTAATAGCTACATGGTAAACGAAGCAAAAAAAACAGTTGTTCTTGTGTACATTCATCAATATTGTTGTATAATAATTAGTAGCATTCTTTTCTGTAAAGACTAATTTGCTAAAATATTTGTTTGATGTTTATTCCGAATTCCCAGTATATTAATTGTTTTTGTTTACATAGATGCATAGAAATAAATAAAGAATATGGTTTTACATAGGTTGTGTTTCATATATATAATCAGAAAGCACTAAAGATTAGGTATATTTCATAATGACTATTGATGAAAATTAGTTTCACTTACTTTTGACACATCATTCTGCCCTTCGAATTCTGTAGTGTGATATTTATGTGATAGTTAAAAAGTATAGGAGTTAAAATAAACTTAAATGGTATAATTGATAAAAGTCATTTTTCAATTTCTAGTTAAATAGATGAAGCCTAAAACAGTATCCGTTCACATTACTTTTTAGACAGCATCTAAGAGATAACTGAAGAAATTTAAAATAAGATTTGAAAGTGAAGAAAGATTGCAGTATAATACATCAAACGATTTCAAATCCTGCCAAAAAGTATTAGTACACAAGGCCAGAAAAATAGACAGAGCGATGGAATCTAAACAAAATTTAAGCGAATTAGGATATTCACACTAAACAAGTAGTCGTAAAAATAAACTAAAAACTGATGTATTTCACTCGATGATAATATATCCACATAAATTCATAGAAAAGCAGAACTACTAAGGAAGAGTTTATCATCATTTTAAATGTGAACCAAAAGAAGACCACCAGAAGTAATGAATATAGGATCATCATTTGTTGGTCAACATTTTCGAAGAACAAAAGATATTCTTTGTAAGCAGAAATAGATGGCGTCTAGCAGCAGTATCCACGATGTGCGTTTTGACTCATTTGCGACTAGTCAACCGGATAAACCTGCATCCAAGGTTCAAACCCATCATAGTTAACGTCAATTATGGGGTTCAGGTATGTCCAGCTGACGAGTTCTAAATAGGACGAAACGTGCTTCGTTTTAATTAATCTTCATACCAGTTGTGATAATTTCGGAAAACGGTGACTTCGTAGTACATGAAACAACCATCTTCTAACAAAATCGACTTCAGACACATGTCAACTTAGACAGATTACAAAATAAGTAGGCTAAAATACATAGAGTCAATGTGAGATTACTAAAGTGAGAAAAATAGTGTACTAATTTTTAACATCAAGACAACCACTGTAGTGGAAGTCTTCGCATCGGTAAGCCTCAACATACACAAGGGAAAAATCAAGATCTCCAAATATAATACGAGGACACCAACGCAGTCGCACTTGATGGATAAACTCTGAAAGATGTGAAATCCTTCACATACCTGATCAGAGTCATCGATGAACAAGGAGGATCCGATACAGACGTAAAGGTGAATATCGGCAAAGCCAGGGTCGTATTCTTACGATCGAAGAACATATAGAACTTTAAAAAATTGTCAACGAACACCCAAATCAGAATCTTCAATACTAACTTCAAGACAGTCCTACTGTATGGAGCTGAAACTTGGAGAACTACCATAACCATCATCAAAAAGATACAACTGTTTATAAACAGTTGTCTACGCAAAATACTCAATGTCTGCTTGTATGATACTACTGTGTGACAGAGCAAATAAGCTTCCAATTAACGAGAAAATAAGAAAAAAATTGTTGGAAGTGGATAGGACATACATTGAGGAAATCATCAAACTACATCACGAGGCAGGCGCTAACTTGAAATCCTGGTGGTAAACAGAAAAGAAGAATTGGAAGAAGGCATTGAAAGAATGAGTAGCAACTGAAAAGAACTGGAGAGGATTGTCCATGACAGAGTTGGATGGAGAATGCCGGTGAGCGGCCTATGCCGCTCCACGTGGAGTAACAGGTGTAATTAGGTAAGCAAGTAGTCGTGATGGAAAGTTTGGAAGAGCAAAGGCACATCGTGATATTTTTTGCAGCTTTTCACTGTCGGCAAAACTGCTTTACCAGCCCATATACTTATTTTAAAAAATTTTGACCACTAGGAATGTAACAAGAAGGAGTAAAAATCTATATTTGAACCTTTGTCCACGATCTGTAGTGATTGTTCAAAGGCAGACGAAGTTTTCAAGCCATCGATCGACGAAACTGCAGAAATATTGTCCGTGATAAGTATTGCTTCTGGTTGTCATCTGAAACAGTCAACGCACGTGATGAGGTAAGAGTGTCTTTTTGAAACTGATTATTATCTTATCAAATCAAGATGAACTTGATCGAAATGAGATTCAGGCCCTGAGGGACACCTGTTATGCCTAATCACCCTATACTTCTGGCAGCTTACAAATAAGAGTGTCCACTCCCTCACGCCTTCATTCATGTTAGGCCGAAAAAATCGTTCAAATAAGGTCTCAGTGTTATCTATAAAACCGGATTCGAAAGTTTATGAAACGTAATAAAGACGATGTATCGAAAATGTTTCGTTATTATTGGATGAGCCTTACCTATAGGTGTTTCACATGGTATAGTTCTCTTGCCTGTTTCCAT